GATAGTTGTCTCCATTGAAGTATGGAGGCTTGTCCGTTGGTAGGGAGTCTTCCATGTGGAACAAGCCGGAGGTGGAAGTCATCTTCTCGGTTGAGTTGGGAATTGATAGAGCTTATTCGAGGACCGTCTCAAGGTGGTTAAACCTTCTTAATGAGTTAGGCTCTGATGCCAATTGTTGGGATTTTCGGAAGCTCAAATCGACAACCGAAATGGTTTGCAAAGAGGGGTCGGAACGGTTTTGTGTTTAGGGAGTAAGGAGATTGAAAGATAGAGAATTGAACAATGATTTATAGTGGTTCGAATTTCTCAACCAAAGTCTATGTCCACTACCTTAGCTCCTCACCAAGGATTTTCCAACAAATTCACTAATTTTTTCTTTCTTTTGAGGATAAAGAGTAACCTTACAAACTCCCTAGTTTTTCCGGGCTAAACTAGAACCTTTCCCTAGCTTTTACATGGGATTAGCTAGAACCTTTCCCCTTTACAAAAGGATAAGAAATGTAAACAAGAAAACCTCTCTAAGGTAGGTGTTTACAAGATTGAGCTCACAAGAACAAAATATACAAGAGAAAGATGAAATAAGAATGAAAAACTCTTCTCTTGTGTTTGATTGCTTGGATAGTTGTTCTATTGCTTCTTCAAGTGTCCTTAGCTTGTATTTATAGCTTGGAATGTGTTTGAAGTCGTATATAGTCGTTGGGGATGTTTTGGAGCCGTTTGGGGATGAGAAACAATTAATAAAATAGCTTAGAGCGTGGGGGGAATCGGTACCCCCTCATGGGGAATCGGTTCCCTAATTGCAATCTGTTTTTGACCGTTAGATAGGGGGAATCGGTACCCCCTGGGGGGGGGAATCTGTTCCCCCTAGGGGGAATCGGTACCCTCTAGGGGGGAATCTGTTCCCCCTGGGGGGAATCTGATTTTTCTTGAAACCCTTTAAAAAGAAAATATTTTTGGCTCGATTAAGGCTCAAAATACTTTGTAAAATTGTTTTAAAATAGTTAAGTATAAAACATAATTTTACACTTTAGTAAGGATTAAAATGAACGTTGAAAGACTTGGAGTAATATTTTGATATTCGAATAATTATATCGAATATACTTAGAAAATCATTTGCAAAATCTTAAAATTCATTTGTTATATCGAAACATCAAAATGTTTTCAACAAATACACTATAGTCGGAGGACCATTTATGTACTTTACCCAAAAAATATAAGTGTACTTTTAAAATGACATCAATCTTGTCAATGAAGCTTTGGTATATATTATGGATAAAATTGTCGGATGAATGAAAATAGATGATTGAGATTGACTCTTTTTTTCTAATAAATATATTCTCATTTACTATTATTAATCTGAGTCGTCTATTTTCATTCATCCAACAGTTCTAAATTTGTGTACCACTGAAAGAGTTTTACATTATGTAACAAGATTTTATCTCTAATCATAGTTTTGTGTATGTATCATATTGGATGATTATGGTCATAGTCTACAATTAGTTAATCGAGTATCATTTATACGACTAGGGTTCAATGGATAAAGAATATCAAGATAGTAAACAAGTTGTTTATATACAAAATTAACTAAGCTAGCTCAACTACTTTAACAACCTAATTATCTAATAACCTACTCTAACTGGTTATCTCAACACTCCCCCTCAAGTTGGTGGGTGAAAGACATTCTTTACCCCCTACTTGAAACACAAATAATAATGTTGCTGTAACCCTAGAGCCTTTGTCATTATGTCAACTAACTGCTCTGTTGTAGATATATGCTATGTTAGTATGAAGCCTTCTTCAATCTTCTCACGAACAAAATGACAATCAATTCCATCCCTTAACCTGACATTACCTAACTTCATCCCTTAAAAAGTCCAATCAAATCGAAATCCATCAAATGTAGGTAAAATTAAAATCCCTACCCATAATCATCTTAACGTAAAAAGCTTCGCTTAAAGTTTATATCATGTCAGTAAAGACACTCCCTACAGAATGTATATTTTAAAAAACACAATATACACGACATTTATATAAAACGGTGATATTTTTTTTGAATAACTTTTGTCGTAACGCTTATTTTTTAAAAAGAAAATGATTTTTTTATTTTTTAATATGTAAAAATTCATATGTTTTGAAAATCAAATAAAATTTATATCGGTGTAATTTAGAAAAGAATCAGAGCTACTATTGACCTTTGGGTTAGATATGTCAAGTACCTAAGACATTCTAAAAAATAATAATAAATATAAAATTATTTTTTTAAACAAATTGATCTACATTACCATAAATTCATCTTTTAAGGATTGGAAGTCAAAACACGTGAGGAATGCTAAGCACCCCACATCGTCCAAAATTAGTAACTAATCGCTTATACATCGTTGTGGTAATGGAATTAAAAATACTAAAATAAAAAATCATTTCACGATTTATTTTATTTCTTATTAATTAATTTGTTTCAAACCCAAAGAAATATTCTATATTTTGAGAAGAAGTCATGGGATTTGCACGTCCTTTAACGGGATTGCTTTTCCATCTACCTCTTCTCTATACGAGAATATTCCCCTATTATTTATTTAGGATCATATATTAAGCATGAATAAAATAGAAATTAGAAATTAAAGTAACATATCAAAGATAAACAAATACAAGGTCATTAAAAGGATCATTATTGTTCATTTTTATTAAGACATATGTGATTATTTTCAAGTTCGTTTTCGCTTGAACGTCGTATTGAATCGTACTACCTCGATAGGTTGCACTTTTCACATCTATTCTATGAAATATGTTCTTGAAAATTGATTAGGGTATTAAATAAATCTAAGAATGAGCGTTATCTAATTTTAGGGCTATTCTATCGTTTTAAATTAAAAATGTAGCATGTGGGTTATATCAATTCTTAATAAATTCAAACAAGCATTTATACTAAATGAATTAATTAATAAGACTAAATTAGAACTAAACTAAAACTACAGGGACATATTAGCAAATAAGTTTATCTTACTTTTGGCAAAATCATGTCAAGTAGTGGCCAAAAATAAAAACGTAGCAAACTTGTGGGGGTCCTAAAGTGTTTATACCCCGTTTCTTAAAGTATGACAAACTAAGGAATGAAAAGTAACAAATCTGAAATTAATAGGGTCAATCAAACATTTAACCAAAGCATGTGATAGCATACATGCGACTAAAATGAAAACGAAATAGAAACTCGAAGTGCAAATTAAAAGAAGTAGAAATTCATTTCAGTGACTAAAATGTATATTTACAAAGATTGAAGGACCCACTCGCTAAAATGCACACTCTTCTACCCTAAACGGCGTCGTTTGATGTGGGGTTTATAACTCCAAGAACATGGCCGAAAATGGCCTGTTTTTTTTCATTCGTCTCATTTCATTCCTTTTTTAAGAGGGAAAACGAGAGCTCTCAAACTCTCTCTCTCTCTCCTCCTCGTCGGGGGAAACCGAAAGCTTCTGGCCTCCGCTCTCCGGATCACTCCACCGCCGCACACAGCGGTTAGAGTTCAAAAACTTACCCCAAAAATGACCACCTATTTTCCCTAAACCCGAAACCACTCACCCCTTGCCCTAAATCTACCCTACCACACGGCGGCCCTCTTGCTCCGACGGTGAAAGATCCGAAAGGTGAGCTTCTCTCTCCCTCTTTTTTTCTTCCTTTTTCATTTTTTGGTTCTCGAAAGTTCTCTGGTTGCTCTCCCTTGTACTCGAAAAAATAACCTCTTTTTTATATTGGAAGAACATGTCCTTTCTCTTTTTCTTTTCACGTTTCGGGTTGTCTCTGCCATGGAGAGAAAATTCTCTGACTTTGTTTTGTTTTTCCTTTTTAGTTATGTTGCTTTGACCGAGGCGGGGACAACGCTGGGAGACACGTCTTAGGTGGAAGTGACGTGGGTTATGACCAGGGTAAAACCTTTTACCCCCGAGGTTTGTTTATAATGACCGACGATGAATCCGATGATGAAGGTAGAGGCATATTGCATAGGGAACCGACAGGCAGCGTTGACCGGGCGTATGCATCTCACGGGTGGGTAGATCAACGGCCATGATTGGCGGCGGCGTGGATCCCAAATGTTAGTGTAAAATCTCTAATTAATCTAGACCGTTTGATGGCCCAGATCTAACGGCTCCCATTGAGCGGCGACTGGAAAAAAGTACAAAGCCCTAGCACGAGTGGGCTTTCTTCTGTGGGATTGGGTGCTGGTTTTCTTTAATTTTGTGAACTGGGGCTTGAATTTGTACATAATAATTTTTTGTTTATAATAATAATAATAATAATAAATGGTGATTACAACTTTTTAAATATTATTTACGCGAATAATAAAAAGCAAGGATGTAGTTAGGGATGGGCATGAGACCCGAACCCGACAGGTTTTGACTCGATCGGGTTGAATTTTTTTTAAAAAAATCGGGTTCAGGTCAGGTTGGTTTTTTTAGTGTGGTATTTGGATTGGGTTTAGGGTGAAAAATATCCGACCCGAAAAAAATATATAATTTTTTCTTATATATTAGGGAATAATTACAATAATACAAGGGTTTCAAAAAATGGTTCGCAGTCGCGATATAGCGGTTTCGCCCATGTCCGAGTTACCCGCGACGGCCGCAATCACAGTAAATCTGAAATAACCGAAAATGCGACCGCAACTGCGATTTGAAACCCTGAATAATACATCTCTATATATAATTTTTTTCAATTAAGTTATTTTTTTATTTAATAAAATATTTATTTATTTATTTCGGGTCGGGTCGGGTCGGGTCGGATTTCTAAGTTATATATCGGGTCGGGGGTCGGATCGGGTGAAACCTTGTTTTGGTAAGGTCTCGGATGAAGGCTCCCTTGTTCTCGGGTCGATAAGGTGGACCTAAAACCCGACCTAACTCGACCCATACCCATATGTATATGTAGCTCATATAAAATTACGTAATTGGTCCGTGTTCATTATTTAATGAATAATAATAATATAAAATATTAAAGATTATTTGGACAAATATTATCCTCCTTAATTTATTCTTTTCTTCATTTTCCAGCCCACAAACTGTAACAAGTAATTGATAGGCTGCTAAAACCTATCAACAATTCTCAATGCTGCCTCCGAGAGCTCTTCATAAACCCTCATATCATAAACCACTCCATCAGGGACCGTCACATTATGCGCCTCCACATTTTGCCTGCAGTCCAACTCCCTTACCAGCGCCGCCACCACGTTCTCGTTCGTCCCGTCGTACTCTCCCGCCTCCAACATCCTCGTCGCGTTGGCCAGACGGGTCATCGCCACCGACAACCACTTCTCGCAGCTCTGCAACATAGATTTCACCTCCTTCTCATGCACGGCCGAGGCTAAAGCCGACATGTTGCCCGACAACGTCCCGGCCTTGTCGCTCAGACATGTTATGACGATGGCCGCGATGCCTACCTTGTCAGCTGACTGGCTTTGAGGGTCGGATTCTAAGCATCGGACGCATGTCGGGGGGACGTCCGCATTGTTGCATTGGACTCGAATTAGAGTTTCGTCGGCGGAAACGAGTTTCTGACGGCCGGCGTGGTTGAAGGAGATCAAAAGGAGGAGGAGAAGGCCGAGATGGGAAAGATGCAAATGGATTCCCATGGATGATTCTGTTGGGTTCATGTGAAGATTAGAGGTAATGTGTGTATATATACACAATGAAGCTTGAAAAAAAAAATAGAATTTATTAAGTTCAAAAGGTTATTTTATAATTATTATTTTATGCACAAATAATGAAATAACGATTATCTTCAAAATTTGTAATAATAATATAGTAATTATAGTAACTTTTTGAAAATTATTATTTTATTTTTATAAATTAAATAAACCTTAATTGGTGTTTGCCAACTTTTTCAACAAAGCTTGCACTTTTAAAACACATAATTTTGCTGATTTCAAACAAATTATTGCATTAAATACTCTTTATTTATGGAAATATTGATAAGTGTCATTAGACTTAAAAGTGATATTTAAAATAATAAACATTAAAACGTATACGTGCGAAGGCTTTCGATTCGATGTAGGACGAAACCCCTACATTATAATTAGGGATGGACACGGGTCAGGTCCGGTTAACCTGATTCGACCGAAAAGTATTATCCTTCATCCGATCTGAACCTGACCGAAAATTATACACCCTCCACCTGACTCAAATTAGATCCAATCTTTTGAGATAAGGCCTGAACACAACCCAATTTGACCTGAAATAATATAAAAAATACAACTCGATCAGGTCGGGTAGGGCCGAAATCCGTCGGGTTCGAGTCATGTGTACATTCCTAATTATAATTTGATTAACTTAGGGTTTATATATTCGTACAACAATATATTCAACTAAAATTCTAAAAAAAATTAGTTTGATTTTTTTCATATATATATTCTTATTTCCTTTTTTTTATTGCTCATGACATTTTATAATAAAAATGAAACAGAAAATTTCAAATATTACCTTAATTAGTGACATTAAGTGCTTATGTCTTTTTAGTATAAATATATGTGGGGTTGCATCAAATGATAAGATTCCATGCATAAGAGGCATTAATTGTTGCAATTAATTTCATTTTTCATATTCCTATTTCTTAAGATACACGACATTAAAAAAATAATATAAAGACGATATATATATATATTGAAAATTATTACATTTTTAAACATTCTATATTTATAAAAATATAAAATATTTTAATTATAATTGTGACATAATAATTTATAAAAATTATATACAAAATTACAATTACATGAACTGTGAATAAAGATAATGATGTATAATTGGATTTCGTATTGTTTTGTTCTTTACTTCATTTGTGACACATGATCTCAACAACCTGAGTGTGGCCAATGGCCACCTTTGCAGATAATAAGTATGATTAGGATGTACATAGTAGGTCGAGATTTTGGTGAATTCAACTTGATTCGATAAAAATATACTTTTAATCTGAAATTTGATCTGATTTAGAGTTAGGATGATTTTATTCGATTCAAAACTTGACTCGCATTTAGAGATAAAATTTGCTTCCGACCCAATTTGAATCGACACAAATAAGGATTTATGTGATAAAATAAGGATTTAATTGAAGGATAAACTATGCAGATAGTCCATTATAATTTTGGTTTGACCGATATTGGTAAGAAATTTAAAAATTAAGGGGGAATGCTCCCTAACGTTATCGATCCATTCGATTATAGTCTCTCAGCCATTAATTTTTGTTAACCCCATTTTGTTTAGGTCTCTAACAAGGCTTAGGGACTAAAATCGAACGGGACTTAATGGTTGAGAGACTAAAATCAAATGAATTAATAACGTTAGGGACTATAATCGAACGGATCGATAATGTTAGGGACCATATCTCCTTAATTTTTAAATTGGTGACCAAAGTCGATCATACCCGAAACATAGGGGATTATCTGCATAATTTACCCTTAATTGAAATATATATATATATATATATATATATGAGGTATAATTATATTAATTGTTTGGATCAAATATTTTTCATCCTAAAATAAAATTTGATATGACACAGAGTTATACTCTAAAAACTAGACTCAGTGAGACTCAAACTCAAAGTTAAAATACCTACCCAAAAAGATCGAGTCGAAACTTGATGGGTTCAGGTCTCTTGTCTATCCCTAATTATGACGAAATTAACTCTAAGGTCCTCGACTATAAAATATTATTTTTTAAGTCCCCTAACTATTAGAAGTTACAAAATGGTCTCCTAACTATAAAATGATATTTTGTTGAGTCCCCTAACTATTTAATGTTACAAAATAGTCACCAACTATTCTTTTTTTATTAATATGTGGTACGTACAAGGCAATATATGTTCAAAGATAACTCTTAACCATTTGACATTGAATGTTCACACTGTTAGCATTCCTGGTGCTTGTGTCGACACTAACTTTTCGTCCTGTCTTTTAATACATTATTATTATTATTGTGATTATTAATGTTACATATTATATTTTACAGACCCAAGACCCAGTTACAAATATCAACCGAATTACAAGATGTTGGTTCAAGCCCATGTGACCCGGTTCAGTAACCCGACCTAATGAATTTAGGATTTGCTAAAATCCTAAAGCAAGCTGCCATCAACTTCAACTGTCATCCACGCATGTCTCCTACTGCAGTGTCAAGCCAACATAGAGACACCACCAAATACTTCTAAAAGTTGTCATCATCTGGCCATCTCAGCAAATGTGACTGGATTGAAACCAATGTCAACACAAAAGATTAAGTTTACCTAAATCGTTGAAAAAAAGCAAATCCCGAAAATTACGGGATTAAAGATACATGCTTCAACACTAATTGAAGAAAAAAATGGATTCGAAACAACCATAAATAGGGGAAATTTCAACGGAAAAAAAAGAAGAGGAGATAGGCAAAATTCACCAACAAGCAGGGGTTCTGATATGTCATTCGAAAGCTGTAAAATAGGGAGGATTTTGATCAACAGATGAAACCCGAGTGAAAACAGATTGTAAGGGTCGGTTCTTCAATAGAAAGAGGGGATCTTTCAAAAACAATTTGTAAGAGGGTCATTAATACAAAAGGGTCTCCTGGGATTTTGATTCAAAATCAATAAAATACCAATTTTCTTCCTTTGATTTTTCGTACAAGCAATTCCCCATTTTTATCAACAACCCGACAGCACAAAGCAAAGCATTTTTAAGGTAACAAATCATATTCATTTTTTAGTATAAGTTTTGAAACAAAACAGAATAGAAAGCAGAGGTAAAAAAAGAGGAAGCAAATATTACCTTGGAGTGGTCGGAGAGGAGTATGGCCACCACGACGTGGTGACCGACCAGTGATGAACGAGCTGTGGATCTTGATGTACAGCCGCTGTTCGTGAAGAGAGTCAGAGAGGGGGAGAACGTCGCTGGGGAGTTTATGTTTAGTAAACACGGTTAGGGCAAATTCTCATAAAATAATATATATTAATTCATAAAATAACAGTGTTTCAATAGTTGTAAAACCGTTTTGCATAGGGAGGGGTAAATCCTTTTGGCTAATCCTTTGAGTTTCAAAGCATTCAACTCGGGTGTTTAAGTTTTTTATTTTCTGATTATAGCTCCTAAGTTTCATGTGAATTTCATTTAGGTCCCTAATTGTAGGTTTATATTTATAATTTTGTCTCTATATTTTATGCGCATTTAATTTCAGTCCCAAGCAGTTTTTGTATTTAACTTTTATTGTTTAGACATTGGAACCTTAATTGTTGTATGTCTTTTTTAGTCCTATGTTATGTTGTTTATAATTTCTTGTTGTTTTGACTTCTAGCCCGTAATTTTGTTAAATTACATTTTAATCCCATAGTATGTTCATTTTAATTCTTATGTTATTTTGCACTATGTTCGGTTGCTTTTTGGTATATGCTATTTTTGTCCTTTGTGGTATAAATGTATATATATACATACATAGGTGGCATATTTTGGTCCATATGAAGCATATTTATATTTTTAAACTAAGACGTTATGGTGTGTAAAGTCATGTAAATTTATTTTAATTTAGTCCATTATTAGGATTGATTTCTTTAATTAGTTGCACGTAATGGTTTTGCATGTTGATATGTTTTGATATGTACAAGTATACGATTGATTTATTTGCAAATTGTATGACATTTTTACATGTATTTTGTATGAGATCCTCACGTGCATCACTCAACCTAATTACATAATCTGATTAATGGTAATATTCGAGCATTTTAATATTGTCGTAAAGTGACTGTCTTAACGGATAAGAAGTTACTTTTGATAATTTTAAAATGAAAGTCTATCCTATAAGTGACACCAATTAAAACATATTCATTTTTAAAATTTGGGGACTGAGGAAAAGATCGTATTCTTTTAATTAAATTCATCGAGAAAAGACAGTTAGATCGAATCTATGGTCTCGTCTCTTGATATTTAATTAATTGAATACCCTTGTTCTCATTAAATATTGGTAATAAATAATTAATCAATTGCTTGATAGTTTTTTTTACTTTGCATGTGTTTTTAAAGGGTTTTCAAAATAATAATGTTCGATCATAAATAATTAAATATTATTATTTTATCTCTAAAAATTAGTTTGGGTGTTATTATTTTGAATTTAGAATGAAATTTCAATATTTTTTTATTCGATTGGAGTAAGAATCGATTGCTTCAAGGTATGATAGATCATTTCTTCTCGATAGGAAATAATTAAATATTATTATTCTTTCATCCAAAATTTTGAAAAATATTATTTTAGGGGATCATAAATCAAATTAATTTTGAACTTATACATTTTATTACAAAGATAATTAATTAATCGACTAGGTACCGATTTAGGGCACTGTGGGGGTGCTAACCTTCCCCACGTGTAACAGACTCCCGAACTCATTTCTGGTAACACGGACCTAAATTTGTTGTTTAATTAAAATTAATTTTTTTTAAAATGACAAAACGTTTTTGGGTGCCCAATCACACCTTAATCAAAGATTGGTGGCGACTCCTCGAACTGTATTTTTATCATAAAGGAATTTCCAAATTTTCGAAACGAGAGGTTTTTTAATCACATTCATTTTTAATTTAAATTTAATCTAAAGAGAATAATTAAAAACTGGTGTGGTTTCCAAAATCTCACCCGGGAAAAAACCGT